AAAAAAAAAAAAAAAAACAAAGCTCGCCCAAAATAAGACTAGAACCAGCCAGGCATACTGGCACCCACCTATAATCTCAGCACTTACGAGGCTGAGGCAGGAAGATCACCGCAAATTCAAGGCCAGCATGGTTTACAAAGACAGTTTAAAAACAACCTGGGTTGTATAACAAGACCCTTGAGTCAAAACTAACTAGACAAATAAAAGATGAGGACCCGCCTTGGGGGCAGAGGGCATTGCTCCCTGGTGTAAGTCTCTCTTTGCTGAAAGTGGCACCCTCCACCACCCCACCCTTGGCCGGCATTCTGCAGGTCCTTACTAGGCAGCAAGCGTGCTGTTCTCACGGCTCCAGGACACCCGATATTTCATCTGGTCGCAGTGTAGCCCTTCTAGGAACTGGGCCGAGGCCACACCTGGGCATAGAAGGCCCCAAGGCAGTGACGCATCGCCCGGCCTGCACAGCCCTGCGCCCGCACTGCCCAGGCAGCTGGCAGCGACGGGCACACGACCCTGCCTCCCCAAGACGGGTGCAGAGTGGTGCCAGGCACACAGCGAACACGGGTGCGTGTGGGGTGGGGGAACAAGTGTTCTGGGCCACGGGCCCCCTGGAGTGAGCTGCTTACCCCGACATCTGAGACCTAAGGGAGCCTGAGGCAGGCAGAGCAGAGCCCATCGGGCTAGTGTGCTTTCTCAAATACCTTTTTTTTTCAGTGCTGGGGATTGAACCCAGCATTGAACTACATCCCCAGTCCTTATAAAAAAAATTTTGTTTTTGAGGTAAGGTCTTGCTAAATTGTTAAGTTGCCCAGGCTGGGCTAGAACTTGTGATCCTCCTGCCTCAGCCTCCCAGAGTGCTGAGATGACAGGTGTGCGCCGTCATGCCCAGCTTGAAATGCTCCTTGAATGTGACCCCCTCCGCGGGGCGCTAGGTGCGGCTGGGATCACTCTGATGGCTAATTTTACGTGCACCGGGCCTTTGCCCCAGAGCCCAGGGCTGCAGGACCAGGGGCCTGGAGTCACCTGGGCCTGGTGCACCCAGCAGCCTGGAGTCTGGGACTGGCCCAGAGGTGGAGCTGGGAAGGCTTCTCTTTCTCCAAATCCCCACCTGGCCTCAGGAGCGCTGTCCCTAGGCAGGCGGCTCATGCCCAGTCTTACTTTCTGCGCCTGGGAACTGATATTTTCATTTTCATCTGCTTTTGTGCACGTTTGCAGCACACGGTGGCTGCATTCCTTGCGCGGAGTCGGTCCAGAGGCGCAGCACATCCTCGCGCTTCTTCATCCCTCCCCCTCCCCC